ATTTTTGTCCATAATACCTCATCACCAGGATATTCCAATTCTGGCAAACGATCAACTTTCAAAAGATTATTTATATAAACCAAAATACCACCCCCGCAAAATTTCTATCAAGTCGAAAGGGAGAATGAAAACCATCAATACATAAATCATTAGTAGTAACCTGATCATCTAAATGAGTTTCGGTAAGACACACAATGTCGTATTCATCTACTATGTCCTCAATATAGTCTAATTTGTGTCTAACGCTCCTAATATTTAAATGAAATATAGAAAGCTCGCCAAGTCTCGGACCAGGATTGGACTCAACATCCATATGCTGTAGTAATAACATTAACAAAATCACCGAAAACTCGAAATTTCGGAAACAAGAAATAAATATAATATTTATCTGAATAATCAACCAATAAAGATAGCTATGCAGTTGATGAAGTAATTTTAACCAAGAATTTAAACCAAAACAAAGAGTGATAAATGACTTCATCACACATCTTCCGTAGACCTTAGCATAAAAGGTACCGATCGCTATTCTATGACACATAAAAGAATTATCCATTCTCAAATATGTAACACAAACATGAAGTAGAATAGCGAATCAGTACCTGGAATTTCATGAATAAATTATAATGTGCAAACCAGCAATTGAAATTGTCAAACCTTATTACAATATATTTAAGCGAACAAACAGAACATGTCATGTAAACAAAAAACACTGAATAGTTAAAAAAGAGCAAAGTCACGTGAAGTAATAATGAACCCAACATGAAAGAAGTCGGTACAGTATAACACTGTCACGGTTTAGATCGTGTGGTGACTATAAATACATTTGACCTAAACTATGAAAATTAATAAAAGAAGAGTGCATTCACGTGTGTGAGGGTATATATAAATCATTAATAATTTATGCCTGATATTAGATCACTGGTTACCTTTGCTCATAATTTATATAAAATGTCGATATAACGTACGCCTTGACATAAAGGCCATCACCTGGACAGAGCGCAAAACCCACAAAAAGCATGGGTTTGCACCCTATCCGAGTGGCGCGTGTGTCGACAATGAATATCTATACACAGGTCAGTCATGCATACACATAATGTACATTATGAGTTTGAGTTGTGAGTATAGGAACACCAGAAAATAGGGACGGGGAAGTGGGGCCAGCCAATATAAAAGTTTTCTGTTTTTATTTTGAAATTGTGGCAGACTGTCATTAGGCTAGCATCCCCCCACCCAGACGGCACAGGTAGTAATACTATACAGACACTCATATTCCTTCAACTGATCATTTGTCCATCACTCCCGTGCCTTGGTAGTCTTTCTCCTGTCATTCCTCTCCTTCGTGTAATACTCTGATCACCTTGCCATCTAGGTTGGGGGACGCTAGCATAGAAAACACTTACCAATACATTGGAGAAAAAAAGAAAATGGAAAAAAACCCACCAGTAGTTTATATATAGTTTGGTAAGTAGACTGGACACAACCCTCCACTTAGTCCCGACATTAGATATATGAAAACACTTACTTGCAGGTACACATAAATGATATATATTTCACATTTGAATACTACATAATTTATACACTAAATACTGATTTCATCACCACATACAATGTATACACATACAGATATATAATTATTAAGTGAATATATTGCAAATATACACGCATACACGCACCACACCCTCTTACATGTAACTCCACAATCACACACACCGTCACACATACACACACCACACATACAATGCCATATATAACGTTCATACCAACCATATTCACACATACAAAAATGTACAAGTGCCAAGAAGTAAACATGCATGTCTATAACAGGACACTCTCATTACGTGTAAACTCGTATATCACCCACATGTCCCATCATTAAGTTAATTAGATTAATTCATACTAAGCTCTCAGTAACTATATGCTCATCGCATATTGAACCCGCTCGATTACAAACCATTAAATTAAAAGAATAAAAACCCTACACTGCATACTCGAGTATGTGGTAAAATTGTACGACATATGTTGTACTGGGTTGTTTTGGGTGTTTTTTTCGGATAACCCGGCAATAAATAGACAGATATACCATAGAAGTTATATCTAAATTCAAATTCACACGCACGTACATGTGTGTATATGTATAAACATGCATTGCTCACATACCCGAACCATTATATGTGGAAATGGCCAAAATATCAATCATTATATGATTGAACCTGGCAGGTACATTTCAATCATATACACAAAACTAGGAAGGACCTTACACAGCATACTCAGCATATAAAGTAAAATTGTACGACAATATGTTGTAATGGTTTTTGTTTACGGATAACCTACCTTGCAATATATAAACAGATCTACAGATCTACAACGCAGAAGTAACATTTGAATTCAAATTCACAAGCACGCACGTGTGTATATATGAACATACACACACACATATATATATATATATATATGTACATGACTCATGCCTTGACATATTGATATATAGTATACAGAGGTACAGATTATATTATAATTCGAATTCACACGCACGCACAAGTGTACATGTATATGACTCTTGTCTGGAGTGTACAATGGTACAAAGTGTATAGTATGCTATATCCCGTTTACACATGGCAGCAGACGGTCAGAACAAAATAACTAGACAGATATATACATATTGATACAATATGGCAATGGTTGTTTAAAGCTTGTTTACTAAATTATCGAATGTACTTATAGATACATAGCGAGATACAAATCAAAATACATGTACTATCAAAGGACCATTTCAAGTGCGAGCGGGTACATCATGTTTTAAATCAACTTCAATTTCTCACTTCAAAAGAAAAAGTATAAACAAGTGCTATGGTGTCTCTTTACTCACATATGGACAGTTTCGAGTCAACACAGGTAGCAGTACAGGTAAAGGTCACGCACTACATGGGTGTGCTGGCCGGTGCACTCACGGATGGTGGTTTACCTTTACTCGATTGGCTCGGGCCAACACTCTGGAATGATGGTTCAAGGGACTGATCCAGAGGCTGTGATGGCTGGAAAGAGGAAGAACGTTGGGATGCCTTACTCCAACAATGTTAGAGGTTTTACACGGCGAAAAACTTTTGACAGGCGCCGCGTAACCTCTAACTGCCCATAGGTGATTTTCCCGATGCTGACTATCACATTTTCAAAGTTCGGATTAAGAAAGAGTATATCGTGTTTACATACATTTAAATGGTCAAAAGGGTCAAATAAGTATTCCTTTCCATAAATCCATGATTATATGAGAAAAATTTCATGTCAAAGACATAAATAATGAGTTTTTCCTCATTCGAAGCGAAGCAGACAGCATTTGCCATGATTTTTCCGGTTAATACAAAAATGGATTACATGTAATGTTTCACAAGCGGAATACAAACAAACTCCGTATCATTTCGTTCCGTTTGAAATCCCCCCTGATATTTTGTATTAATCCAGAAGCCATGTTTTAAATGTAGGTCAGAGATGTGCTACAACGACATGGACATGTATTTTGAGTGTTCTATTCCGTAATATACTATATATTTGTGTCTGTGACATATATATGAGATCTATATTATATAAACCGTGAGTAGACATCGTTGTCATGAACTGTTAACCACTTATGTGAGTTTTTCAAGCCGATTTTGTTCCGCCCGGATTTCGGGCGGAAACTGCATCAAAGAATTAGTGCTTCGGAAATGAGAGGTCGCAGTCGGCAAAATCATATCCGATTGAAAAAAGACCGACCAGCGGCCTCTCATGTTATGGGAGTATGGGATGCCTGTGCTGAATGTGGTTGGTGATGTTTTAACTGTGAAGATGTGGACGGGTCCAGTGGTTGGGATGCCTGGGAGGACGACTTAGATGAAGGGCAGGACAGATGGGGCTGCTGAATTTGGGCGTTGATGTCAGTAAGTCGATCTACACAGGTGTGCGACGTTACAAGCGTTTTGGGCGACTCAGATGACGACTTGACGAGAACGACCGTCTAATGTCCAGTGCGAGTGTGGCACCCGGTTAGATTTGTTAATTCATTTTAATTCCTTATATTCCTAAAGATTCACTAAATTATATTGAGTCTTATTAGGATTACTTTGTATAATAATGTGTCGTTGATTTTAATCCGTAATCCGCGCTCCGCATCCGCANTTTGCTTCTCTGTCCTTTCTTTTCCATTCACTTCCTATCTGCTCCTGGTAGAGGCAACATCGCCATATATACATACTTACGAAATATACATACCTGGCAGATTATACTAGTGGATCCCCGGTACCACATACAGGGTAAGCTATTGGTCAAATACAATATATAAGCTATTGCTAAACTTAATATTTATGCTGATAAATATTAATGCTCCATAATTTATATTTATTGGGAATGCTATAACTTGACGTAAATTGCTCATATATAACTATGGGTGTGGTTATTGACTAAGTGAACACTTTCCTTATTGAACACTGATTTTATACTTCGGTGTAGTTTACTGGTATTATAAGTATTATGTGAACCATATTCATATAGTTTTCTAGGCTACTGTAAATAATTGTTTTATAAACCTTACGTCTTTTAAAGTATCGTACGTTACAACGTGAATTGTCCATATGTAAATGTATTGTTAGGCGAGTTCGTTTCTGTATATTGTCTCATGTGTGTTTTAATATTGTTACAGGGAAATAAATACCCACTAAATCAAAGATATATGGTGTTCGTCATCTATTGCAAAAGAACCCAAACACCACACGAGTATACACGTTTGCTTTTCCATAACTCACTAAGTCTGTTGACTATACTCTGACGGTATTGAGTGAGGCTCTCTGTAATGAATATTCTATTAGGATTATTCTTCAAATTCGTCTTGGCCTTAAACACTTGTTGACGGTCAGTATACCTCAGGAAACGGACATGCACAGTTACTTTATTGTTCCGAACCTTAACAGAGTTCCGAATGTCTGAAGCAAACGACAATGACATGTCAACCTGATCATCATCATGAGTATTGTTCTATTGTTTTATTTCGTCATACTAATGTTATATTGCTATCTTTGCCCTTTAAAAAAGGAGAAATCTCGTCGTTCTTGGGTTTTTTACTGGTAAACACGGCGATTTCTCGGACAATGAGCCAATACGACTGGTTAGCTGTTACAATAATGCGCAAACAATGTACCTTATTGGAGCTGAGATTTGCATCTAAATGTGTCGCATTGATCAGACCGTCTTTGAAAGTCCCTAGGAAAACGTTATCCCCGCACATTGGTTTAGTGTTTTTGTTCTTAGTCAGGCTGAGACTAGCCTCGAGTACTCCATTTTCCAGTTTATCACTTGGATGGCTGCTTGACCCCGTAACAATAATCACGTGATCAACACTCTGAGGTTTGTCAAATACGATGGTAATACTGTCGTTCTCTTTCGGGACGCCTGTGGTCCAAAACAAGCCCCTAGCCGCCCTGTCATATGCATTAATTAGCGGGTTATCGGGACTAACTTCTGTTATACTTGTGAACAATTTAGCAGGTGGATTTTCACTTTTATATTGTTTTTCGGTTGTTTCAAAATGTGCATCCTTCAATTTCTGAATCTTTCCCGGAAGAGATGATTGCAAACCAATATGTTGAAACAGAGTTGGATAGATAATCCGTCTTCCAAATTGAAGCATCATTATATTAAAATGACGGTATGTAAAATCTCCCGGTTGCTCTACATAAAACAATAATATCATTTTTGACAGTCTCTCCAAGTCTTTGGAATGATAAGCCTTCCCTATATATCCTAACTCGGAAAATTCTAGACAAACCCAGTTGTCACGTTTAAGTAAATTATAACGAATACGTTGTAGGTAACCTGGAACGGTATAAACATCGTCCTCCAGTTGCATGTAGAATGTGGACAAAGGTTTGCTGTACATAAACAGATATGCGTAGTCAAAGTTTTGCTTAGCACGCCACTTCCGTTTCTCTTTCGAATGCCCTGCATAGGTGTGTTGTAAATTTGTCAGTGGTGGATAAAATTGAGGTGGCGCTTTTATAACTTGTAGTAAACCTGTTTCGATATGACCTGGGTATTTCATACTGAGCTCGCGAGTCATGTTTCTTTTCCACTCGTTGCTAAAATCGGCAAGGAAAACGACGATGTAAATGTCCCTATGCTCCTCCTCGGTAGAACAGTTAAAGAGAGATTCCAGTGTGTGGGATAGGTATGTTGCATTCTCACGTCGAATAGTCGGTATCCCGATCGTCAGTAGACCTGCGAGGAAGATACAATAATTAATTTTACGTCCATGCATTCTTCTTCCGCAAAATACACAAATACAATTAGTAATTAAATATAGTAGTATTGAATCTAGTAATTTGGACTATTTGTAGCACTACTGTAACCATAGCTTATTTGATTATTTTTATTCATAAGATTGTTAACATACTTCATGGTTTTTATCATGTTATATTATTAGACTCGCTGAGCAGTCTCAAGAATGACACATATACTAGCAATGCACTAAGAAATACTCGCTTTATTACTTTAGGAAATAATCAATGGATAAGCAAAGTAAAGAAACGCCTAATAAAAGATCTAAAGTCGATCTGGAACTAAGCAAAATGACCCTTGCGCTGCATTATTTGGCCATTCTCTGTCCATTTCTGACATAGAAATTATACCAAATTTAAACAAATTACAATCTGTGTCCAGGGTGTCCCAAAAAATTAACAAAAACATAATAAAGATGGGAAAGGCTGCTTATAAAACTCTTTATAAAATTTAACTTATGCTATTTTAGGCTGCGACAGATAATTGGTTAATACACTAGTAAAAAGTAAGCGCACAACGCCAATATCACAGACAGAGAAAGCATTATATATGATTTAGATAAATGTGTATTGATATTTCTGGAATTACTCGGCAAGTTGGAGAAATACTGTATATTGCGTTAAAATAACGGTATAAAATGTTTGCGCTTTCATTCCGGGACAATGTTTCGCGGGGAGTAATTTTCACTGAGCACCCATTCCTGCATTTCGCTGTCCATCTGCTTCAGCATTTCACGCTATGATTGTTCAAACGTTCTCAATTAGTGAACACAGATATCTGTGGAATTTGTATATTACTAGTAGGTTTGAATGTTGTATTTATCATACCTTTATCTCTCTCTTCAACATATGGTCTGAGGGATAACTATTGCGGTACAAAATTTCGTGTTGAAAATTAAGCTCAATACCGTATTATGCGAGAACTATGATAATTAGCTTCTTGATTATTAGGCGTGATTGTAAACAGGGTGACCAAATTAAAATTTGTCTAATAGTATATATATAACATTTTAGGTTTATATATATTTCTGAATTTGAACAAGATTTGTGGAAAAAATGTATACGTACGATTTGATAAGTTTTTAGTTGGAAATATAGCTGCATCTTGTCTCCAATTTCCTGTCAGAAATTCCAGTCCGGTCACATTCTGTAAATATTAAGGAAACCTATTCAAGACAAATTCTTTAATCCGAACACAATATCTCTCATGTTTGTTTTTAAAATAACTGTAAAAATTTATCATTTAAAGCTCTAATTGCTTATATTTACCCGTTTGGTAAATTTTAAAGACATACAAAAGAAATGTTATTTATGAATGATTCTGATTTAGTTAAAAGTAACGTAAAAAATATGTGTTTTGTTTCAAATAAAAAATAAAATCATTTTGCATTAATGCTCAGTAGTATCCGACGTTACGATCGATAATGATGTAATTTTGATGATGACGTCATCAATCGAGTCATGCATTAATAGCTTATCTGGTTAGTGACTTTTAAATGTGGAGACTCCCTGCAGAATTGGGGATTTGAATTTATGTCCTCAACTTTGGGACACAGCTGCAACTTAAATAATTCTGCTGCATCTGTTGCAACTTTTGGGTTCTGGATATTATTGCTCTCTTCTTCAAAACAAACTCTTCGTTTCCTAGCGCGTCTCTTTGCAACACTTTAATTTTGGTTTTAGTGTTGCACATGTGCTAAAGTGGCGAGGGTAATAGGTAAAGTCCTGACACTGGTACGTACCAAAGTTCTCGAAACCCAAAGCTGTTATCTCCAACCTAACCTTCAGCATTTATTATGTCAGTATTATATGATCAGGTGGAATGCGTGCCTTCGGTTTGGTATTTCAGTCAGGTAGCACTCTAAAGTCGAAATCAGATCTGGGTTATCGCTAGGGGCTAAATACACTAACATACCGCCTTCAGCACACAGGTACATTACACCCGGGGAGAAAACTTAATGAAGCTAATGAAACCCGATCATATTGATGAGTTATATAGGAAAGTTGTAATGTGATGGTGAGTACGATGCTGTAAAAGTACGATGCTGTACAGGTATAGAACCTGTTCATTTTCATTTCATCAAATTTTATTGACAAAATGTCGTAGTCAATTGGATTGAATAACAGGCAAAGCCTATATAAATTCTCTCCGTCAAATGGCAAAAGTGGAATAAACAAGGAGACACAATATTTTAGACATGTTGCAAATGAAAAAAATTAACACAAAATAATTCATATTAACACAAGGCTAAGGGGAAGTAACTCATGAAGGAACATCTCACACACACTTACACCCATATTTCAGCATATATATATACACTATCATAGACAGATATTGGCAGGCTTAGACCAAAAGTCCATGTGCATATATTGCACAGGTCACTGCTACCAACAACTGTTACAATTAAAAATAATAAATTCATTTAATACATATAGAATGTAATTATTTACAATGTCAAGATAAGTACACGTAATAGACAGTAGTCATGCTCAACTAGAATCTCCTGGATGTAATATAGAATATACAGTATATTTTTGTTTAACATCATGGCTTTAAGTTATATAAAAATTAAAACGACGGGATTTTCCAATAAAAATATGCACATCATCAAGTATTCTTCTATTTGTAAGCCCATCACAATCAGGACAGCCCTGGAGAAGAATGTTTTTACCAATGTGGTTGTAGTTTCCATAACTATTAAGAGAAGTGAACAAAGTTGTTCTCAGATTATTAAAAACAGGACATTCCAAAAAGTAATGAGATACTGTTTCATATTCAGCAGAGCAGGTACAAGCAGAACTATTAGTAAGATGGTCATGGTGTAAATCATAATTTAAATTACTGCAAGAGTTTCGAAGTCGACATCAAATAATACTTGCTCTTCGGTTACCTAGAGGGTAGGGGTTATGATTTTGATTATTAATAAAGGGATTTAAAACATTTTGTAAGTTTTGAGGTGTCTGCCAATGCATAATTTTGTACATCATTACATGTTTGTGTTTATTTCGTCTTACAGATAGTGTTTCCCAACCTAGTTCATTGTATAGTGTGTCATGTGATACCCCACAACGAAGACCTGTTATTATCCTAGCTGCTTCTAACTGTACAGATTCAAGAACATCTTTTGCCTGTTGTGTACGATTATCCCAAATAATATCTGCATATTCCAAAATTGGCCTAATAAATCCCACATATATTTTAATTAATGAATTTCTATTGACTTCAGTTTTGACATGGCGAAGAATATTAAGTCTATTGTAAGCTTTTTTGTATATATTCTGTATGTGCTGTTTTCATTTCGCATCATCTTGAAGTGTAAGTCCGAAGTGTTGACGTGATGATGTGTCTATGATTTGGCTATTTTGGAAAAATAGTGGGAGTTGATAGGTGTCTTGTTTTCTAGAAAATGTGCGTGATTTTGTTTTACTTGGATTGAATTTAATGTCCCAAGTTGTTGCCCATTCACCTATGTTAGTAAGATCAGTGTTGAGAGATTGTAAGGCCTGTGCTGGGTTATTATCTGTAATTACATACAGAGAAGTGTCATCAGCAAAAAGTTTGATATTGGTGGAAACATTAGTAGTGATATCATTGATATAGAGAAGAAATAATAGTGGTCCGAGGACAGATCCTTGAGGTACCCTGCATTTACATTCTTAAATTGTGAAAACTAACCTTCAGTATTTACTCTTTGCATTCTGCTAGACAGATAATTTTCAAACCACAAAAGTAGATTTCCATTTATACCATATAATTTCAATTTAAATAAAAGACCTTCGTGCCATACTCTGTCGAAGGCTTTACTAATATCACAAAAAAACAAATTGAAGCTCCTTTCCTTTATCCATATTGCTTGCAATTTCATTATAAATAAACAAAAGCTGATTGACAGTAGAATCACTAGGTATAAAGCCAGACTGATGCTTAGTAATAATATCATTCTCAATCAAAAAGTTGTATAGATATTTAAACATATTTTTTTCCAATTTTCACTGAAGCATAATGTAATTGCAACCTGATTAAAATCATCTGTTACATGGCTTCGTTAACTTCGTACTACGCCTGAAGCCATGTAACAGATGATTTTAATCAGATTGATGTAATTGAAATTCGTCGGTAATTTAACACATCATTAGATGAGCCATTTCCTTTATAAATGGCATTAACATTTGTTTGTTTCCAACTAAAAGGTATTATACCAGACTCTAGTGTCTTATTGAATAATAACATAAGAGGTAATTTAAGAGAAGCATGAAGCTTTTTCACAATTTTAGGAATAACACCATCAGATCCTGGGGGTTTATTAGTGTTGTGTATATTAATTTGATCGGATAGTGAATGGGAGGCATTGGGTTGTGCTGTTTGGGGTAATTCGAGGTCAGGTGTTGATGTAGAAATGTTAGTGAAGTGATTGTTAAGAAGCTCTGCTTTGTCAGTTGGATTATGGATTATTTGGCCGTTGGATTCAAGTGGTGGAATAGAAGATGACTTATTAGAAACATTGGTAATAGATTTAGCTATCTTCCACCATTTGTCTGGAGTAACCACATTATCATTTAGTGACTTTTCAAGATTTCTTTTATAAAGTTTGCTTTTGCCTCACGGATAAGGTCAATAGTTTCATTTCGTAGGGCTTGAAATTGTTCCCTATAATGGGGATTATTTGTTAGTTTAGCTTTTCGGTGAATTCTATTTCGTTGTCTCATTTTCAATCTAATTGTATTATTCATCCATGGTTTATCATTTGGGCGCACAGTTATTACTTTTGTAGGAATGAATCTATTGACCTGCTCCGTTATTGCATTGACTATAGTGCTACTAAAAGTATTAGAATCCTGATTTGAAGACAAATTCAACCAATCAATATCAAATAAGGCATTGTTCATTCTATCAAAGTCTGCTTCTTCATATTTTAAAATAGTTTTTTATAGCTGTTTTTTTATAGCTTACTTTTTTAAATACAGAATAAGAAACTGAAGCATGTACTGAGGAGTGATCACTGCAAAATGGTGGAGATACATGAGTATTTTTAACTATGTTTTGGTTATTAGTAAAGATAATATTAATGGATGTGGCACTGTCAGGTGTTAGTCTTGTGGGTTCATTAATAAGACTAAGTAGGTTATGTTATTCAATGGATGATTTAACATATCAATATTGATATCACCTGTCAGTACCACATCCAGTGAAGTATCTGTAGCTCTGGTCAACGTATCATCTAATTTATTCCAGTATTCAAAATTACTTTCTGGTCTGTATAAACATCCAAGAAGAAATATATAATTATTAACTAATACTTCTAACCATATAAGTTCAACATCATCCTTTTCTAGGTCCATTCGCCTATTCATAACAATATATCCTCGTGATAAACTATAACCCCGTCCCCTGGACCAGTAGTTATATCTTTTCTATGAGGATTGAAATTGAAGGAGTGCATCTGAATGTCAAGGTTAGATATTGAAGGGTTTAAATGAGATTCTGTTATACAGACTATATCATTATCCTCAAATTCTGCTTCTACCAAGGCTGTCTTGTTTCTGAGAGACCTTACATTCAAATGAACCAAGTTTATATTTTGTACTGGCCCCGAATTACTTTCAATATCACAACACAAAGTTAGCACAACAAAATGTGAAGTAAGAAGAAAACATATGTTATCAAAATATACAGATCTGTTATCAAGTATTATACTAATGAAGTGAGAGCCAAGATGTAGATTTAGAAAATGCGCTTTGAATAACCTAAAAAACCAGCCAGAGATCAGATTTAGACCATACGAATTTTACACTAAAATTACCCATTGTAGATTAATAGATCTCCCAGCTGCTGAATAGTTTTCTTAACGCGATATACAATGTATAATATATATGGGACAAGCACAACACAATAATTACACACACACACACACGCAGTTTTCATCAAAACACATGGTTAACAAAGACACAGGGACTTGAAAATTTAGATATGAATAGTGAGCACGCACCTGGTAAACATTCAGTAAATATCGGTTATATGAAAGAAATTGCTCGACTTAGGCTGTCAGCTCACAAATTAAACATTGAATTTGGACGTTATGTTGGCACTGTTAGAACTAATAGATTATGTACAAAGTGTAATCTTAATGACATAGAAGACGAGTTTCA